TGCAAGAAGCTGTTAATGATGCAGTGAAATTGGCAAATCAACGAGTTATTCAAATACGAGAAAATATCTCTAATTTACCAGATTTTTGTCCAGAAATGAATAAAACTGTTAATATGTACTTTGAAGCATTAATAGACTGGCTTGCTGGTTCCTTCTACTGGCATCAAATTTCCGGTAGATATGCTGTAGGTGATCATGCTACTAGAAATATATGAAATCCTACTTGGAACCGATTTTGGCACATGACAAGAAACACCCTATCCGTTGAAAGTATAAAATTAACTTTTTGACTAAATTTAAAATTAGCCTTATTCCCAATCTCAAATTAATTTATTGATTTCTACCTGTGATGATAATTGCCTGTTAATAAATAGATTTGGAATCAAAATTATAAAACTAGAAAGATGTATGTGTTGAAAAATCCATGGATTTCCGATGGATATCTATTTTTATCGGGCGAACATTTCTTTTTGACTGATTGATCTTACTGTTTTTTCGATTTTCTTATTTAAAAATAGATTTAAAGCAGGTCTATGGTTAGGGCTTGGGTCAATGATTGAGTGGGTATTATAAGTAAAATTGCTCCTCGACAGCGGATTTAATAATTCGAGTTTATCGCGTGAATTTTGTGATATTTTAGAATTTATTAAAATTTAAATTCTAAAATATCACAAAATTCACGTGATGAATTATTAAATCCGGTTCCAACCTCTAGTTTAGGCACTCGTTTCTTATTTTCGGTCTAAAGGCCCGGTTATATTTTTTGACGATTTAATAAAAGTTAGGGTAAGGGCTAGTTTGGGGTTAGGGTAGCTTATAGTAAAATTTCTTTAGGACATTTTTATTAATGCCCGAGACAGGTTTAGACACTCGTTTCTTGTATTTTTTTGCGTTTTTCACTGTTTTTTTCTCTCCAAAATAAACAACTTCATACAAAATCTTTATTTGCGTTATTGCAAAAATTTGGATTAATTTGTAATAAGATTTAAAAATTTATAATTTATATTAATTTGCAATATATTATTTATCTCTTCGGAAAATATCGTATATTTGCTCAAATTTTTATCCCGACCTTGCTCGTCTTTTATGTTCATTCATTTTCTTTTCGGAGTTTTTCGGAACTTTTCAAATTTTTTAACTCAAAAAAATGCCGTTTTATCAATCTAAATTTGTATTAGTATTAGTTTGCATTAATTTGTATACAAATTTTTATGGGTTCCTGTGTTGCAGTAATATTGGTTACTACTCGGGTCTTTTAATCTTCCCAAAAAACTCGCAGTCACGTGATATTCAAAAATTCTTTAAAGTTCTAAGGATTATTTTAGAGTTGAAAAGAAGGGGTCCTAATTAGTGATCCAAATCGTTTAGTTGAAAATCAACTAGTTAACAACTTTTCAACTAATCAATTTAATTCTGAAATATTTTGTCTAGTTGGGCTAATCCATGTAAATTTCTTTAATTAGATTGGTTAATCAGTAAATTTAGTTACATAAAGAAAAAATCAATTAGTTGCAACTATAGTTGGCAACTAATCAACTGGTAAAATTTTTGCCAACTAGGAACACTAGTTCTAGTAGCAAAATTGCTTAAGAAAATAGGGTTGGAGATATAAAAAAAATTTGAGTATACCCCTCTATATATAATCAAATACTACTCTACTAGATCTAACTACTTCAAAAATACTTTCAAAATTCTGTAATATGAAATTTTTTCTAAATCACATATCAATATAATCTCTATATTCTAATTAAAATAGTTTTAAATATATCATGTCTTTATATTCTTTTTATTAGATTTATATTATATCTAATCTTGAAATCTAATTGTTTGTCATATAGACTTTTTTAAGATAATTACTAAATCTTGTAGCCAATTAAAGTACTTCAATTTATAATTAAAATTTATAATTATATGATATGGGCATGCTATTTAACTCAAGAGCATATCTAAAGGGTATGTCTTGAAATACTATACTTCAAACCCTATAAAAAAACTTTTTGTTAATACACAGAAAATAGTTTCTTATACAAATTTATAAAAAATAAGTAATTTTTGGTGAAACAAATATTTGTTTTAAAATTTTCTAATTGTATTATATTACACAAAATTATGATTCATTATTGGCTAATTTGCTATTAATTATCATGTAACTGCAATATTTTTTAAACAATACTGAAGTAGTTAGTTACTTGTAGATAGACAAATAATCTGAGTTGAATTGTTATTATTTGGGTAAACAACTTACAGATTACTCACACAGTTACTTATAAATCAATTTGTAAATCAACCATAAAGAGATTTGGCTATTTACTGCACTTTTTAAATTGCTATATTCACTAGTTTTTATACATCACACTAGAAATCAGAAATCTAGAAAAAATACTAATACGTGATTGGCTAATAATAATTTTTAGCCAATCATATATTAGTTTTTTTTTTCAGTATTAAGGTGAGGTCTTTCTTTATATCTATAATTCTAAGTATTTGCCTTATATAGCTACATATTTAACTTAAGAATACAGACTTAAACAATCTTATCTACAACCTAAACCTACTAGAGTATGCTATGTTCTCACCACATATTGGGTTATAACTGAATTTGGTATTTAGACTATATCTAGTTACCTACTATATTTACCTATATCACACTATCAAACTTTGATAATTCTCAAATTAGTTTATTCATATAATCAGTTCTTAATAGCCTTCTAATTTAGTATGCCTATTATTTGATACTTTTTTAAACTAGTATACTTTTTTAAAGATAGCCTCTTGTGTACATTTCTCAAACCAAATATCTGCTACCACCACTAGTCCCACATGAGAAGTATTGGTATCACATATTAAAAAAAAGACTTATCAAGTATTTGTGCCCCTTTTGTTAACTTGTATTTCTTTATGCAACATAGCATTATATGAATGCTCCAGACCTTTCACTTACTTTCTCAGATAAACTAACCTTGTATCTCAAGCCAGGTCCTGCTGCCACTACCAGTTTGCTATTCCCAAGTCTTAGTATTTCCTAAGTTATTTAATGCAGTATACTTCTTACTACTCCCTTAAGTACTTTTTTATATAGTATTCATCAGGACTATAGTTTATAAGAACCCCTTGAGTTGTATAACAACTACAAGGCTACACATTTCTAGCTATTGGCTATATTCGTAATTTTGCTTTAATGACCTATCTTGTTAAAGACCAGCCTAATACTATGAAATTATATAAATGGTAAGCTAAATTATTTTTAGCTATTTCTAGTTGGTATCATATTAATGTTAGTAAATTCTAACTCTTTTTTGTTATAGACTTCTATATAGGTATGACCAGAGCTCTGAATTGATATCTTTAGATATACAGAGGTAGATTATATTTTCTATATTAAGTAGTCTTCTATAGTCATTCCACTGGTACCAGAAATGATTCCAATTCTAGTTAAGATATGATCCTTTACTATAGCCTATAGTTGTATATTACTGCTTCTCTTACTACTCCAGTTTTGGTAGTATTATATTACTCTTCCAAGCAAATACTCAACACTATTCCATATTAGGACTTATACACACAATCTGTTAATCATCTTTTTAAGCAAGTACTCTACAAGTTGGATATAGAGATATTGGTATTGCCAAATACAAAGGTGGTGAGATATTGGTGTTGTCTTTGAGTTATCCCAACCAGAGGACAATATGTATGATCTTTTACTGCCTAAACTTTCTGTAATACTACTATTACATATAGTGTCTTCTCTTCACAACCTGGTCTTCTTCTGAAAACTCTTTATTCTGGTTTCATATTGTATTTGAACTTTCCATAGAGCTTTATATTCGATTATGGCCTTTGTAAGTTACAAAAACAAATTTTATTAAAATTTATCTCCAGCCCAACTTAAATCATTGATCTAGTCTGTAGGAGTTTAGAAATTTAACTAATAAGCTATAGGATCTAAACCTATTAGTATTTTTTCTAGATTTCTGATTTTAAATATATTGTATAAAAATTAGTGAACACAGCAATTTGAAAAATACAGTAATATTATTATTATCATATACTTCAAAAAGGGTCTTTAACTCATATAATAACAATAAATAGAGTAATATCTTCTCTTGTATTAAATTATTCTACATAAAGATATATTGAATTAAGAAAAATAAAATTTTAAAATTATTTATATACTGAATATACTATATTACTAATCATTTTTTAGATTTTCTTTTGTTTAATAATATTGGATTTATTTTAGTTGAGCTTATAAATTTGAGAGAAATCTACATGTAAAATATGTTAATACCAAGAATAAAATAAAATAAGTTATATTATCTAAACTAACTATTGATTCTATAATATCGATCATTAATATATACTGAGTTCTTTGTCTGCTCTTTAAAAATAGATACTATAAGTTAATATATAAAAATACTTCATTCTACTTAGTGGCATCCATAAATAATATTATGTACCTTATATAGAAACTCTTGACCCCCTAGACTATATAAAAAAATTTAAAAATCTGTATATTTATATATAAATTTTTACAAAACCTTGATTA